CTAATATCTTTAAAAATGTCAATAGTTCACGAGATACAGGGTCATTTCTTAATTATTGACATTTTTAAAGATATAAGCTCATTCTGATGTTACGTTCATCAAGAGCTTTCATTTGAGTACTCACATGCATTTTTGATATATTTTTCATATATACATATATATGATATATATAAATATATGAAAAATACATGTGAGTACTCAAATGAAAGCTCTTGATGAGTGTAACGTCGGGATGAGCTTATATTTTTAAAATATATATTATATATATGTATATATGAAAAATATATCAAAAAATGCATGTGGGTACTCAAATGAAAGCTCTCGATGAGTATAACATCAGGATGAGCTTATATCTTTAAAAACATCAATAGTTAATAAAGTACAGTGCAATTAAACCAAAGTAATTATTTAATAAAGCAAAATTTTAATCTTTTATATTTCACAAGTTTGCTAGTTTCTTTTATTCTATTTTTTTTAATAGTTAATTTTTTTAGTGTAGAAAAAAAAAGATTTTTTATCAGTACGTGTATAATTAAATGTATACATTAGATTATTAGTAATAAAAAATCCCATCAGTGGTTCCTGTCAAATAGAGTACATTAAGTGATTACTTATAGCCGGAGCTCGACTCAAAAGATTTCATAACATTGGATAAAAAATGAGTTACCTCCTGGACACAGACTAGACAGGATCTATGAAGATCGATTGATTCGTAAGCCGCAAACATGCCTCTCACGTTTTTAGTTTACTCGCTTACACTGCCCAAGGCGTCGGAACTCCAATACATGATACACATATAATATCTACATGTATGTAACCGTGAAGCGGATGGCGGTGGTGATCTTGCGGGAAAAAGAGGAAAAGAGAGGGTAGGCGTAAACGCTTTTAGCTCCGCACACACACACACACACACACACACACACACACACACACACACATTAGTATCCTCTACGACTTAGCAATTGTCTCTGTCTTTGTCGTTGTTCCAGAAGGTGCCGAGCTGAAAGTACTTTTCCTCTTTCTTCATCACCGACTTAACTCCCTTCCTTAAGGCCCAAGGGGCCCCACTATTCCACTTGGGGCTGAACGACCAAAGAACACTCTACTCAGTGTCCGCGCAACCGTAGGCGATCGTGCAAGTTTGTGAGTTTCTTCTCTATTATTTCTTCGGAAAAATCTTCAAAGTGTTTTCGTTAATTTGTTTATCTTCGCTCTCGACATTAATTGCTCCAAATGTCGGAGGTATTTTTTAAAAATACTCTTCGAGTACAAATGATCAAACTAAGAAGAAGAAGAAATGGAGAATATAATGATAATTTAAGACGGTGAATTGCATTCTCGATACAAAGATTGACTAATTTCGATGTGGAAGATAAAAAACTAATAAGAAGAAATAGTTTTTGTGGGAAGAAAAACGACACGCGAGGCAATCACGTAAGAAAGCAATAGCCGGCTGGCGATTCACGATGTGAGTGGATACGAGTGAAGAAGTTGAGAGAAAAGTTAACCAACTGCCGAGCAAGTGGCTTGTCTGTAGTTCCGAGATACGCGACTTGTATTAAAACGTTAATCTTTCCTCCACTACCGGTTATATATATTTATATATATATATAAATTTATTAGGGTGTATCAAAAAAATTTCTAATAATTATTTTGTCATATTTTGAGATTTTGAAGCCGCAAATACGAATTTTTTGTTTTTCTTGTGGGAAGAAATATCTGAAAACTTTGGATTTTACGAGAATTTTACTAATTAGTGTGGCTAAGATTTTTTTTAGAAAATTTAAGGATCTACAAAAAGGGATTTTTTGATAAAATTGATTTTTCAAAAGTTATTTGGAGTTAAAAAACAGATCTTAAATTGTCAGTTTTTCTCTTTTTGGCGAAATTGTAATTATTTTTTAAATAAAAATTTTTTATTTACTTTGTAGAACATCTAAGGCAAAAAATTAAGAGTGAATATTTTTTTTTTAGTCAAATTTTGATGTTTTTTTTTAAAGAATTTCATCTAAATAATAATAATTTCGTTAGAAATTAAATAAAATTTCATCATTTAGGTAACTTTATCCTCAAATAACTTTTGAAAAAATGAATTTATTGAAAATAAATGTAAATCATAATATCCACAGAAAAAAAATGTTTTTGAATCAAGAATATTATTTTAAAGAATTTAATCTTGATTTAAGTAAAAAAATTCTTTAACTAAATAAATTTTTCTTGATTCAAGAATTTTTCTCTTGAATTTTTTTTCAATGTACCTTTTTGTAGAGTATTAAATTTTCTACAAAAAATATATACAACATTTTTTGATATCTTATTTATCTTTTTAATAAAATAACAAAGTTTAATAATATTTCTTCCTACGTTCTCCCATGAAAAAAAAATATATTTTAAATATATTAAAAATCTATAAAAAGTATAAAAATATATTAAAAATATGCATAGTAAATATATTTTTAATAACTAAATTTTGGCTGATTTTCATATATATTTTAGATATATTCAAGATATATCTTAAAATACATATCTAAAAATATATTTTGAATGTATCTAAAATATATAAAATATATATGAAAATCGGCCAAAAGTTAGTTGTTAAAAATATATTTATTATACATAATTTATATATTTTTTATAGATTTTTAATATATTTTTTATGTATTTCGACATATATTTTTTTTTCATAGGGGTTATTAAAAATCAAAATTTTAAATTTTAATTTTGACTGGGTCAAAATAAAATTATCAATTTTTTTGCTACACCCTAGTGTGATACTACCCTCAACTTTAATTATCTCTTGCACTAACCGGAGTATTTTTATCACAGGCTCAGAAGTGGATTTTATAAAAATTAAATGGAAGAAAAAATAAAAATAGTGAAGTTTAAAAAATAAGACCTTAAAAGGTGGAAATATAAAAAAAAGGTGATAGTGATTATTCAAAAGTTGTAAGGAAGGAGAAAAAGAAGACAAGGTGACAGAGACGATAAGAAAGGATGCATCAATCATTAATTTACCCGGAAAAGAGTGTACCGAGATGTCGAGCTTGGCTAGAAGGAGGCAGACTAGTTTGCTCTTTGGCTCGAAGCGCTGGTGGGCGACGGGGTGCTGGGCGACGCGAGCCCATCAAGAAGCTTATTTGCGGAAGCTCTACGGGAGGAAAAACTCCCAGGCGAACGTCAACCCTGCCCTGGACCTCCAGGAGCCCGGGAGCTGGATCTCATCAGCGAGGCCGAACTCGGACGGGAATTCCGCACCGGGATGTTGCCTCGAAGACATTATAAGAGGCGAAGACTCTGGGGTAGGTGGGGGAGGGACGGAAATATCCGGGGCCTCGGTATTAGCCAGTCCCCGAGCCAGTCCCACGGAAAAATGTGTTCAATTTCTTACCGGTGCGCGTGTCTGCGTTCCGCACGATTACTTAAGCGATTCACTCAATCATGAACAAAGGCAGAATCCCCGAGTAGTCTCTAGGTGCACTGAATTCAACGATTACCATGGTAATGGTGTTGTTAACTGCGGGTATCAGGATGAGTAAGTCTAAGTCCATTTTCTTCAAAGATCCTCCCTGCTATTTTTAAATTAACAAACAAATGAATAAAAAGAAAAAACGATGAGTTATAATAAATGTATACGGGTAAAACAAATTTGTAGTAACAGAACCGTGACGCCCCTTACTTTTTTCCCCCGTGGGAATAAGCCGACAAGTCTTTTTCTGGAAGGTCATTGTCGTTAAACAAACCATCTTTAATATCTCTGTTAGATCCTTATTTTTTTTTAATATGTATAGAACATCGACAGGAATATTAACTCGAGGTAGTTTATATTAACGAATCGCCTGGATCTTATAAGTATTAATTCTCGTTAGGGTACGAGGACCCGCGGGTTCTTCACTTAAAGAATCATCCTTCAATACGCTCATTAAGATTAAAAATTATTTTTCTTGGTTCAAGAATTTTTTTTTTTAATTAGTAGGATAAAAAGAGTTGAATAATTTCAAAATCTATTTCTAGGTACATAAAAATGACCTTGTATCTCGTGAACTATTGACATTTTCAAAGATATAAACACATCCTGATGTTACACTCGTCAAGACCTTTCATTTGAGTACCCACATCAATTTTTCATATATTTATATATGGGGCATTAAAAATTTACGGGAATCCTCAAAAAAAAGTAAAAAGTATAGAACCATCATTTTAATATGTTAATCATCGAGAAAATCAATTTTTTTTAAACAAAAGAAATTGAAAATTAACAAAAAATATAGAACTAAGAGTTAACCAGTTTAGCTTCTCAGAATTGCTTTTAAAATTTTGAATCCTTGTGAAGGCTCAAATCTATTTTCAAATTACTCTAGAAGTCGTCGAGAAATGATAGTTTGCGCCACCAATGAATCCTCCTCATAAAAAAAAAAAATTAATTAAGTGCCATCATTAGAAACAATATTGTTGAAGAACATTTTTTTGCTTAGCTAAGGAAAATGTTTTTATTAGTTTAAGAATTATTGCATTTCAGACATTATAGTCATGTATTAAACCATTTGACAAAACCGTTTTAATTATAAAACTTAGAGTATCGGAGAATTGTTCATTTCAACACTCACCATTCATTAAGCATTAAATAAAAAAAACAATTGTTTTTGAATTTTTTCTTTGATTTAAAAAAAAATTGATTTTCTCGATGTTAAACATGTTCAACGTTTGGTTCTATACTTTTTTCTTGTTTTTTGAGGATTCCCGTAAATTTTTGGACCGGTGTTATGAAAAATACGACAAAAGAAAAAAATTTTTTTTTTTAATTGAAAAGAAAAAATAGAAATCGGAAAAACACCTTTCTGGAAATTTCATGATATCTGTAAAAAATGTCAAAGTTTTGAATGAGAAAAAGAAAAAAGAAACTAAAAATGGTATTCATCAAAAAATTCGGAGTTTTTTCTAAAAATTTTAAAAATAACGATGAAGATAGCTTTAAAGAATTTTTTTATATTTTTTTCCAAAAAGAACATTTAATAACAAAAATTTTGAAAAAAAAAACGTCCCGATAAGCCAATTTTTGAAAAAGTTATGGCAATTTAAAAATAAAAAAGCGGTTTTTTTGAAAAATTCGGAACTTTTTTTTGGTTGGGTAAAAAAATTTGAAAAAATTATGAGAGACGTTTTTGATAGGGTAGAAAAGGATGGTAAACTTTCAGCCAAATCAAAAGGGGTCAGGGTCAAAAGTGGTCGATTTGGCGTGGAATGCCCCATATATTATATATATGTATATATATGAAAAATATATGAAAATGCATGTAGGTACTCAAATGAAAGCTCTTGATGAATGTAACATCGGAATGAGCTTATATCTTTAAAAATGTTAATAGTTCACAAGATATAAGGTCATCTCTTAATTATTGACATTTTTAAAGATATAAGCTCATCCCGTGGTCACACTCATCAAGAGCTTTCTATTGAGTACCTACATGCATTTTTGATATATTTTTCATAAATACATATATGTAATATATATTATTATAAATATATAAAATATATGAAAAATTGATGTGAGTACTCAAATGAAAGGTCTCGATGAGTGTAACATCGGGATGAGCTTATATCTGTAAAAACTTCAATAGTTAAGAAACTACAGTGCAATTCTAACAAAAATCATTATTTAATAAAGCAAAATTTCATTAATTTACTTGTTAAAAAAATTTTTTAAATTATTAAATATCTGCTAAATTAATTTTCATAAAAAATAAAAAAAGAATTTATATCTTCCTCAAAATATTCTGCCCGCAAGAATATTGTTATTGAGTGAAAATATTTTTTTTTCCGTGTACTCGTTAGTAAATAATCACCCGGGGGTTTTCTACACAGACTCATTCTATAATAATTTTATTTCATTACCTCTGCTATACATATATATATGTACACATAGAAGCATAAAATGTATTCTGGGTCTTATTTTTAATAAACATTAATTCATTAATATTGCACTCCTTCAACAGCTCGATACTGGACGCTCCGTCTTATCTTATCCTGTCCATTATTTCTCGGCGTCTTATTCAGTAGGGCCGTATATTAAGTATAAGCTTCGATTTTATTAAATTGGATCCGCACGCGCGTCTTCATTGCGCAATAACCGGTGATTTACAGCCCGCAAATCGCCCACAGCGATTAGACCAGAAAATGATCCCGCGGAGTGCTTAATTGGCGCGACGCCCTTCGAGATAATCTTTTATTTGCAAAAACCGCAAACTATTTAATCCTCGTCAATATATTTATAATATAGATATAGATATAGAGTGTAAAATATAAAATACAAATTAATAATAATGATTGTATTGTTGTTTTTTTAACAGGAAGGTGTGCAGAAGCTGCAGATGTCCGCGGGAGGATCACCACCGAACGAGTATCAAGTCAACGGACTCATCGATGGCAATGGCAATGGCATTTCAAAACACCAGTACATCCTCTCCGAGCGGCGGAGGTATTCCTCCTCATCAAGAACCGTTTAAGAGCCCCATCGAGGCACCACCTGCGCTCCAAGACCCTCTTATACATCACCATCAGCGACTTTCTCAGAGTGATGACGATAGCGGTTGCGCGCTTGAAGAATACACGTGGGTCCCGCCGGGCCTCAGACCCGACCAGGTAATTAGTTTTGTTATACGCTTCGGTAATAATAAAATAAACTGAGAAAAACATAATTCGAAATTTAAATCTTGTTTTGAGATATTCGGGTTTAAATAATTCATTTTTGAGTCAGGAATAAATTAAAAAATTATTGATTTAAAAATTTTAGTCTTAAACGAAGAACTTTACTATTTTTAAACAAGATAACTGATAGAATTTATTTTTCTTGAATTTAGACAGGCGGTAACGTTGGTTCAAGATATTACCGACTTGTTCCAAGAGTACCAAAAATTTTCGGATTTCTGTTACTTTCTATACCTTTTAATATAAGTCTTAAATAAATTTCAGAGTGGGTTAAAATAAAATATTGGGTTTTGTTTTGAAGTATCTTTTGGTATTTTTAAGGAACAACTTTTTTCTCCAACCAAAAATATAAAATTCTTTAAGAAAAACAAAATTATTCTTAGTTGAAGGGAATTGTGTTTTTTGATGTCCAATTTGATTGCATCTCACGAAGATAATATACTCTTGATCGAAGTTGTAGAATTTCTCTTCACTAAGAAAACGAGTTTCAAGAAAACAAATTCTTGAATAAATACCTAAGGTTCTCTTAAAAATTATTTTCTTAGACCAAGAATAGTCCTCTTTAATCAAGAATATAAAACTCGAGACTCAGAAGAACAACTTATTGATTGAAGAATTTTAGTCTTGAACAAAGAACTTTACTATTTTCAAACAAGATAACCTGTATTTTAATCAAGAATTTATTTTTCTTGAATTAAAAAAGGCGGTAACTTTGGTTCAAGATATTACCGACTTGTTCCAAGAGTACCAAAAATTTTTGGATTTCTGTTACTTTCTATACCTTTGAAAATAAGTCTCAAATAAATTTCAGAATGGGTAAAATAAAATGTTGGGTTTTGTTCTGATGAAGTATCTTTTGGTATTTTTAAAGAATAACTTCTTTCTTCAACCAAGAATATAAAATTCTTTAAAAAAAACAAAATTATTCTTAGTTGAAGGGAATTGTGTTTTTTGATGTCGAATTTAATTGCATCTCACGAAGATAATATACTTTCTTAAATCGAAATAGTGACTAGGGTTCACTATAGTGACTATTCACTATTTTTGCAGTGCAGAGTAGATCACTAATTCAAATAGTGGTATACTTTTCATTACTAAATAGTGAATAGTCACTATTTCATAGTCGAAAGTCACTATTTCGATATTTTGATTTAAGAGAGTACTCTTGATCGAAGTTGTAGAATTTCTCTTCACTAAGAAAATGAGTTTCAAGAAAACAAATTCTTGAATAAATACCTAAGGTTCTCTTAAAAATTATTTTCTTAGATCAAGAATAGTCCTCTTGAATCAAGAATATAAAACTCGAGACTCAGAAGAACAACTTATTGATTCAAGAATTTTAGTCTTAAACAAAGAACTTTACTATTTTCAAACAAGATAACCTGTATTTTAATCAAGAATTTATTTTTCTTGAATTAAGAAAGGCGGTAATATTTGGTTCAAGATATTACCGACTTGTTAAAAGAATCCTCGGATTTATTTTATTTTTCATTTAAAAATCAGTCTGCGTTTTCAAATGAGAGTTGAAATAAAATACTTAAATTAAAGTATTTATTGTGTTCTAAATGTCGAAACTTTTTCTTTATTTCAACGCACTAATCCAATCAGGATCAATTACATCTCCAGCTCTTAATTATCATCTTCTCGAGTAGTAATTAAAGGTGTAGATATAAGCAGCGTGTAAATTTTAATTGTAACAATAAAAATATTTTAATCACTTGAGTTTAGCAAAAAATAACCCTCAATTTTTTTCCTAAGGTTCATTTGTACTTCAGTTCACTACCGGAGGAGAAGATTCCTTACGTCGGGAGCGCGGGGGAAAGGGAGCGAGTGAAGCAGCTGCTACAGCAGTTGCCGCCTCATGATAACGAGGCGCGATACTGCAGTGGCCTCAGTGAGGAGGAAAAACGAGAGCTTCGCGTGTTTGCTGCTCAGAGGAAACGTGAGGCCCTTGGTCGAGGACATGCGAGTCAAGTAGAACGACCTCACGGTACCGATTGTCGTGAATGCAACAGGGCAATCACCGCCGGGGAAATGGCCATCGGAGCCAGCAGAGCTGGGCCCACCGCGCTTTGGCACCCCGCCTGCTTCATTTGCTGCATTTGTAAGCAATTGCTCGTTGATCTTATTTACTTTTGGCGGGAGGGCAGGCTCTATTGCGGAAGACACCACGCTGAAACTCTCAAGCCAAGATGCTGCGCTTGCGATGAAATTATTCTCGCGGATGAGTGCACCGAGGCCGAGGGGAGAGCCTGGCACATGAGACACTTTGCGTGTCTTGAGTGCGATCGACAGGTATAATCTACTTTTATAATAATTGTTATTATTCTAATGGAAATTTGTTGGAATTATTTAGATTTATATTCACTGGTGCTATTTATGAGGATTTTTATAGAATAGAAAATGATACCATGTAAATCAACTACATGGAGAGAAATTATTCTAGTAATTATTCCTATACGGTTTGAAAAGAGAAAAGTATACACTGGAAAAAACAGTTACCTAAATAGAAAAATTCTTGAATGAAAAATTTATTTTTTCTTTCAAGATGAAATTCTTTAAAATTAGGTTTTTGGTTTAAAAGTTTTTTAGATACATAATTAAGAAATGACATTTATCTTGTGAACTATTGACATTTTTTAAGATATAAGCTCATACCGATGTTACACTCATCAAGACCTTTCATTTGAGTACCCACATCAATTTTTCATATATTTTATATATTTGTATTTATTATATATATATGTATATATGAAAAATATATCAAAAATACATGTGGGTACTCAAATGAAAGTTCTCGATGAGAGTAACATCGGGATGAGCTTACTTCTTTAAAAATGTCAATAGTTAAGAAAGCACAGTGCAATTTAACAGAATTATGAACCAACCTTGTATCTTGTAAACTATTGACATTTTT